TAGTGGGTGCGTAAGAAGTTCGAAAAGGTTTCATGCACCAAGTGTTCGATGCACGTAGTAGCAACAGGATATCCTTATCGCCGTCAACTCCTAAAAACAAAGCTTTAGGGTCCCTTAATTTGTTTTTTTTAACTTTTGCACCTGCTATCATGTCATCAAACCAGTAATAAGTTGAGATAGTAAGGAACAAGATCTTCATAAATTATAAAATGTATATATACTGAAGTTATAGCCATTTCCCCAAAAGTCTCTGACATTGAGACTACTCAGTTAGAAATCGAATGCGATTGTGTTGCAGGAACTCGTTCCACAGAAAAGGTGTTTTCATCAAATGGCATTAGTTTCCCCCTGTGACAGCAAAAAAAGGACATCGCAAACGAAGGACATTAGATTTGCTGTGTGACAGGGTGTTAGAATGCTCACTAGTCATGGCTGGAATATGCTACATATAATTTTAACATATGGTGTAGTAGCGCAAATTTGATGGGGACACTGAGGACAAGAAAACACTGCACTCACTAGTCTCACAAACAGTGGCGTGTTTTCTTGTCCTCAGGTCCTCGTCGAGGTTGCGCTACTATACCATATGTTGAAATGATATCTCACCAACTAGCCCAGCTTTCAACCCTACTGAACTTCATATGCTAGGTAGTTGCTACAACCTGAATTGTGTTTGTATCAATGGAGCGTGTATGTTTCCTGGCATATTTGCTCGTTTTCGGCTTCTAATCAGTGATGTTGGCTTTGGGTTGATGTGTTTATTTGCTAGCATTCAAAAAAGAAAAAAGAAAAAAAATCACCAACCAAGATTAAAGAGGCGCCGAGGCAGTGCGAGCTCCGAAGAAGAGCTCGTCCAACTGAGTCGGCTCGAAAAAGAGAGGAACATTACGAGGCAGCTCAAGAAAAAAAAACAAGAGACTAGAGGAAACAGTCGAAATACTTGAGAAAAGAAATGACAAGCTGCAAGATATGCTGCAAAACGAACTGAGTAAGTTATATTTATTCCATGCTGCCTTTTAGAATTTTTTAAAAAATTTTTCATGCAGTCAGTGAGTGCTGTGGTTATGTGTACCCTAACACATTTACTTTGGCATCTTCATGTTATTTCGATGCTTTTTGTTCCACAATATGGATGTAGTACCTGAAATAGCCCTTTGGATTAATGTTGTACAGTCGACATCCGATTTCGCGGACACTCAAGGGATGGCGAAATGTCCGGAAAATCAGGCAGTCAGGAAAAACGAATGCAAGTAAAAATACACTTTTTGAATAGGTATTTCTCACTGACGGAAAAGGTCACGGTAGGAGTACTGGATTCTCGTTGCGATTCAGCAAGTGCATTATTTAGGTGGCCTCGAAAAGAGCCGTTTGTAATAAAAAAAGCGAAAAGAAAAAAATTTGATGTGACCTACGCTACTGCATTTGTAAAAATTAAGTGCTAAAAGGACTCTCTTATTTTCGTTTGCACGGAGTTCCACTTGCGCCGATTATGTTTGCCTCAATATCAGCTGATGTCATGCTGTCACTGTATACCTATGACGATGTCATGTTCGCGTCAACACCGAACTTGTTGCCCGTGTAGGCTCTGCCTCTTTGATCTATGTTTCGGAGTTGTCGAAACCTTTAGTAACTTGAATGATTTCATCACTGGTAAATTCCGCACACAGCTCAAGATTTTCGCTAGCGTCGACAAAGCCCTCCAAGGTTATCCCGGCTGAAATCAAAACACCAGCACCGTGTGGGTCGTTGAAGCAACGACCGCATTTGGAAGTTCTTTAGACACGCTGCCCTCTCTAGGTGAGACTGCCGTCTCGGCGTACATTTTAAAGCTGGTGTGGCAAAAACAGTTCCTGGGAGTCTGTTGCATTACCGCCTTCTATGAGTCGGGAAGCATGCCGACGGCAGACTATAGGTCAACAGCGTAGCTTTCCCGCCGGATCACAGCCTTATAAAAACATTAGTAACAGCACCATGCAGTTTAGGCCACAGGTTTGTCTAAGCCACGGCTGGCTACAAATTGGCGTGCGCTGGATTCCGGCATTTGTGGTGTCAAGGGTACGGCAGCCACATCACAGTGGGTTCGAGGGTACGAAAAGAACCAAAATAGTGGTGCTGATTGTGACTTCAATTCCGCTGTTAGCAGTAAAAAGTTAGCAGGAAAATCGGACGGTGAAAGCTATAAATGTCCGAAATTTTGGACTTTTTAATACATTGACTGTATGGGGAACTTGATGGTGCCACAGATCAGTCCGGGAAATCAGGCATGTCCAGGATTTCGGCAGTCCGAGAAATCGGACGTTAACTGTATGATCAGAGTTAAGAAAATCAAAACAATGCAGCCCTTTATAGAATAAGATTTGTGTGAAACAGTGGCCACTTAGTATAGAAACAGCTGTGATAGTTGCTGAATGGTGTTTCCTTCTGCAACAGTGCAGTGGTTACAGCAGCACTAGCAGGAAACAGCAGCCAGCAAAGCATATGTTCTGTATGAATGGACTCCGCTCCTCCTACCCTTTTTCACCAAACTCTAGACGGCTCCAGCAAGGTAACAGAAAAAATTGTGGCTTCAGCCACGATGCCATCAGACACCACCCATCAAAGTGCATTCTTTCTCATTATATTCATATGTACCGGGGGGGGGGGGTTCAGGCGGCTTAGCAGAGGAGGAGCATATAACGTCACGACCCACCGTGCTGGAACTATTAGTTTTCTTCAAACAAATTCTGTAACAAAAATGAATCTCTTTAGTAGGAATCGACTGTTAGAGAGAACTGCCTTTGAAAGCTATAAGGAACAGTTTGAATTGTCTGACACTTAGAGGAGTTGTTAGTGTACAACTGTCTCAAGAGCAGGGCTGGCCAGTATCGCGATAGTATTTCAGAGATACTTTTGAGTGTCTGTATTGCTGTATCGAGATACTTCTTAAAAATGTATTTGTATCTCAGTAGTGAAATACTTTTACGATGTATCGCAATACTATCCAGGGCATGGGTATGTGGTTACTTTTTTTTCGGAAATGAGCTGAGACGTGTTTACAAAGGCAAAAAAAAAACATATGCTGTGACCTTAGCATTGTGTGGCGAGATATGCACCCACCATTTCTACATTTATTCTCAGGGGGTAACTGACTCCTACCTTCTTGATAGTGAGCTAGTTGCTTTTCTACCCGCATTTCATTGTGCACGCAGAACTGGAATGTGTTTGAATGCTTGGGAGCTTGCCAATAATGTTATGCTGCCATTTTGAATTCCAGCAGTGAGGAGCATTGAATATGGCACACTGGGCGCCAACCAACAGCGTCGTTTTTAAAATGTGTTCCCTCATGCCAATTTAACGAGTAGTGCTTCTTTTTTCTCGTTTTTTCTTGTTTTTTTGCGGCATCTATTTGAAAAAGCGGAACTTATCGAGGAAGCCACAAACCACCCAAAAAATTTGGTGCGTGGTGCCGTGTGCCATCAACGATACTTCTTTCTCCAAAGCATTTCTGAAAGACAGCAAGTGCGGCCACACGCTAGCTAGTCCTAGTCAAATGTGACCAGCGCAGTATGAAGTTTCCCGTCTACAGAAAGAAACACACAACATCAGGTACCGGCATTGACTTGGTGCAACTGACAAACCAGAACATATCGGTGGTTGTCTCACTTGTCGCTAGAACCAATAGCATCTGCACAATGCAGACTAGCAGGGCTGCTGACCTACGGCAAGTGCACAGAGATCTCTTGGCATCCGGCTACTCGAACTCTGGTTAAAGGCCAGCTCTTTCAGCCGCAAAGATCTGATCTTGTGTTCCCAAGATAACGTGCCGCTATACTGTACGTGTCTGATGCGTGCGAGTCAGGCACTAGTTCAAAAACCATTACGATGTCCAAGTAGTTCCGTTCCTACAAATTGCATTATCGGCTGGTAAAGATGAAGGACAAAAAAGAAAGATATCTTGATGCTTATTGGATACATTGTAGACTGTGATTTTGTATATATCAGTGAAACTGGAAATTTCGAACATCAGGTCAGACAGCATGTCAATGATGTCAACGAGGTAAAGGTGTCTTCCAATGCTTTGGCAAAACACCCTGCCCCGCCACGGTGGTCTAGTGGCTAAGGTACTCGGCTGCTGACTCGCAGGGCGCGGGTTTGAATCCCGGCTGCGGCAGCTGCATTTCCGATGGAGGCGGAAATGTTGTAGGCCCGTGTGCTCAGATTTTGGTGCACGTTAAAGAACCCCAGGTGGTCTAAATTTTCGGAGCCCTCCACTACGGGGTCTCTCATAATCATATAGTGGTTTTGGGACGTTAAACCCCATATATCAATCAATGGCAAAACACCCTGAAAATTTGAGCAATAAAATAGATTAGCATAACGGCATAAGCTTAGAAAAAATACTCTTCAGGACACCACTTGCAATCAATGCTGATTTAAACAATGGATACACATAACACATGGAACCATTGATAACACATGGAACCTTCATTCTTATCTACACTCGCAGTTTTGGGTCGCTTTTGAAGTCCTCATAAGCATATTTTCACTCCGTCTAGTTGTCACTCTGAACAAGACTCCCATCATGAGAGCTGAAATGTCTTATTTGTATTCCTTTTCGTGGTTGGTGTCATTAATTTATCATGTTCTCACCCTAACAGGCTTCAGTCAATATCTCAACTTCACCCATCTTTTTGAGTGGAATGTATACTACACTATGCATGTGATTAATTTCCTTTTGTTTATAACACGTTTTCTAGAGAGTAAATTGGTAAGGCAACTTGGTTGGAGCACTTCAGAGTATGAAAGAGTTTTATGGCACCCGAGGATTTTAGCAAAAAGCACTCCGGTAAAATCGGGATAAATATCAGCCTGACGCGCTGGTGTAGCTTTGAGCAAATACAACATAATTATGTTTGTAATAATCAGGTTGTAATATATTGAAGTTCTGAAAAAGTAATGCTTCGTTCAGGATGCAATGAAGAAATGTGCGCTCTTTATTTTTCACATTTGCTCTCTTACAGAAACATTGGCCAGCCGTTCCTGTTGCGGCCACCAATGCAGCACATCTACTAACCATGGCGCCTACGAACATGAGGCCACCCACAGGAGCATTCAAGAGAAGGTAAGAGCATATGACAACGCATTAAGATGTTTCATCAAGTGCGAAAAGTGGCCGTCAACACCAACAAAAGTGACAAATATTAACTTGTGATGCCATCATCGTGGCATCAGAAATAAGTTTCCGAAATTGGTAGTGTCATCACGACGTCACATGATGTCATTGCTTGTTCTAAGGTTGCCTATCCCGGAGGCATTTGCGAAACAACTGGGATGCAGAAAGCTGTTGGGAGTCGTGGCGGGTCAATACAATCGACTTAAAGAAAAAGGAAAATTTTCGTTATCTGTTGTTTTAAATCAGCCGTGAAGGAGAATGAAGCTGTGCCCAGTTGTTATTTTCCTGCTGCAGTAATGATTAGACATGCCGATTTCAAAACATTTCGATGCAATATTCAGTCAACCGTGTGCATCATCACACATTGCTGCACAACTTATGAAAGAGGAAATATCTTTATGGTGGCACAATCGAACCAGTATGGTACTACAAACCTCACTCAACTATGGCTTGGCAAACATGGCTGCGCTGCCATGTTTTGTTAACGGAGACTTCTCATAGGTCGACTTGAAGTGATGTCAGCAGTACAGTTGAGGCAAATGTGCGAGCTGGAGAATCAAAGTTGTCGACCTTTATTGTTGGATTACCGGTCCAGAAGCCTTTTGTGCCAAGGAAGTGCTTATTTTGAAATAAAATCATGTTTTAGTGGTCTGTATCAGGTAGCGCACTTTAATTTACCCGCCTCAAGAAGCGGAAAGTCTCACGTCACTGTTGCCGTGCACAACGTTGCCCGGCTTTTTACTGTACGGTCGCCGACACTACTAGCGAAACTAAAGCACCAGGAGCCGCATCAGCAACAGCGGCCATCGATTCATTTCCTACAATAGGCTCCGAAATGGCAGACATGTTTTAGCTCAATTGGGCCCCGCTAGATGGCACGGCCTGTCTAGTTTAACCAGGAAAAAGTTGAATTTTCTAACCACTTGTGCTATTCTCCATTGTAACTCCCGGCGGTTCTTTTTTCATGAGAAACAACTCAACAAGCAGCATTTTTTTACGTCCTTTGATACTTTGAAGGTTCTTTATTTAGTGAGCTAGTTTGATTACCAGTGATTAATTGTAGGCAGTTTCTCTGACGTCATAAGGATCATTTCGCGAACGTCCTACTGCGGCGCATCTGTTCCCGTGCATTTACCTCAATTTCTCGGTAAGTAGGGCACTGCTGTTGATACTACTGTCGTTTTAGATGACATACATTGAGCTTTCACTATCCCGTGAATTGTTATTTGTTAATTAAGCGTGTTTGAGTTAATGAGATTTCACTGTATTGCACCAAACACAAAGGGACAAAAGCATAATGGAGTGAGTTTAGACAAGTTAGATACAATTATAAAACTGACAAAAACAAATTCGATTCAACTTGCAAAAAGAACGCTGTATGCTTCAAAAGTGTAATATAGATTTTTTTTGCATTTTCAGGCAAGGCCGTTGCAGTTCATGCAGCCATCGCCATCTTCGCCACCACCACCATCGCCACCACTACCGTCGCCACCACCACTATGGCCGTGCTCGCCATTATCTCCACAAGGGTGGTCAGCAACGCTGCCTTTGCCACCGCCGCAGCACTTACTGCTACCAGAGCCTCCGTCGCCTTCTTCAGAGCAGCCACGGATGCAGCCATGCCCATTGATGCCACCGGTACCACACCCTGGAACCACTTCAAGTGGTTTTCAAGAACCTACCAGCCAGGTGTGTACTTTATAATTGAAATGGCTGTTTCTTTGTTGTTGTTGTTTTTCAATCCGATTTAGGGGTTATATTGTCAGACTAGCCTCCTGTACCTTTTCAGTTTGTTTATTTAATCAATATACGTCTAGTCATTGTTAGTGGTATGCAGACAAGTATTTTAAAGTTGAGCAAATGCAGTGTGACCATCTGTCAATGTCGAATTGCACTGGTTGAGCAGGATAAAAATTTTCTCGCCGGGTTCTCCTGGTCAATTCGGAGCGATTTCCCGCTTTCTACTGGTAAATTCGAAGCAAACCACTCCGCAATGGGGCTTCCATGTTGTTTCATCTGGCAAAGGTAGATTTTTCTGAAACTTCGGCAATGCAGGGCTGTCATTTTATATACGATCGGGAAATGAGGTTGTCTTCAACGTTTTTTTAGATGGTGTCTCATCACCCTATGGATTTCTTTACATTCTAAAAATGGCATCGTTTGACTTTGCTGAATGAACTGGCGGTTAAGTTTTGACAGTTGTAGCAGCAGCGACCACAAACCGTGTGTGGAAGTGATTTAAAAAAAAAGTTGCCCGACCGGCTGTGCAGATGCCCGAAGATCATCGGCTACGTCGAAAAAGTTCAGGAGCCAGTTTAAGTGTCGTATGCATAAACAGCTTCTGGACACCTTATGCACAGCATTCATGTGCTCCAGTCGCAGATTTGGCTTGGTGTAAGACGTTTTTAGATACTGTCAGTTGGGTAAGCACGCACTGTCGCAGCCGCGAGGACTGCCCCCTTTCGTATCCCGCGGAGGCGGCGCTGCTGTCGCTTTGAGATTGGTGAAGGAGCGTCGTCTGCTACCTCTGCATGTGAAACAGCAGGAAATTAGTTTCCAAATTGCGACAAGAGAGAAGAGGATGCGGCAGAAGGGCGACCTTAAAACCAAAACGCATGGGAAGGAGGCAGGTTGGGTAGCTTGCTTGATAGGTCCGCGAAACTCGCACGTAGAAAAACTTGGAAAGAGTGCCTGCGCGCGCAGAAGTCAAAGCATGGCCGCCTGGATCAGTGCGCGGGGGTGTTCGAACAATCGGCGGCCGTGGTCAAAAAATCTTTTTGTTGTGCCGGCGAGTTTGCGTGGCCTCACAAACTTCGATATTTCTCTATTCGTCCCGCGCAAATTAACAGCCGTTTTCGTGCTTCCGCACGTGAGTGGAAGGCATGCCGAGTCGAGTGGGAAGCGAGCGAAAACAAGTCCTTAACACGAAACGAATCGCAAATTATCAGAGTCGGTGGGGTAGCGTACGCCCGTGCACTAGACGCAGACTATTGGATACAGTCGGTGGCCGACGATGTTGGCAAATGGTCTGGTCACTTCAGGCCGGCGATGCCAACGACAGTACCAGCGATTAAAAACAGGGTAGATGGCCGACCGGTCGTGGCAGTGTGAAAACGCGGTCCTCGTCTCGCTCAGAGTAGCGGGGGACAAAGGACACAGGGGTGCATAACAAAAAGGAGTCGGCACATTCCTTTCTTCATGGGTTGGGGAGCAGCAACTAGAGGGTCGCGGAGGCAGGGTCAGCGTTTACAATAAGAATGTATGGGCACCTCGCCGATGCCTGATCGGTGGTCGAAATTGGTTTCCCGGGAAGTCGGGAGACCGCTGACTGTTCGCTGTAACCGATCAGCGGCGCTCGGAGACGTTCGTTGTAAGTGCGATTTTGTGCCATTGAACCAATATATATTTTCTTGGTCACGCGGATATTGTTTGTTTGAAGCGAAAGTTTGTTTTAAGTGGGGCCGTTATATGTGGGCTCGACTGTACTACTTAGTGATAAATAAGGTTTAGGCCTGTACCTAAGAAATGTATGATTATTTATGTATGTTTTGACCATTACCTGCAAGACTTTTCATGGAATAGCAGCTGTTCAGTCCTTGAGAACTGCAGGGTAATTGGGGGGTTTGAAGAAGTACTGCTGATCAGAAGTGTTTTCCTCATAGGCATAGCCACTTAGACAGCCTGGCGCACTGAAGGTCAGCATGTTTACTGTGTTAAACAGCTAATTCACTCAAGCTTGCTTGATTGTTGTGTACCATGTTAAATACGATTCGCGTGACAGATATCTAACCTTCAAGCTCCCGCCTCTGTAATCCGAGAAAGCAAACTAAAAGGAAAAAACAAATTCAACGCTGCCGCGGGAAGCCAGCGGTAGCTCGTTCTCAAAGCTACGTTAGCACCGCGCCCCTCTGAGTATGTACGAGCCGGTGCCGCCTCCATAGCGGGCTTTCCCAACTGACAGTATCTAAAAACGGTGTAAGCCGTGTGCTCGCTTCAAGACTTGGGCGGCTGTTCCGGATCTCTCAGTCGAATTCAACATAATAATAGTTGTACACGTAGCTTTACTCACCATAAAACCTAAATGTAAATTTACAAAGATTTTTAAGCTAATTGCATATGCTTTTTGCATTAACAAACATTCTTGACAAGCTAGTTTTAGGAGAGGAAATTCTTCAAGTGTGTGGAGTAAGTTCTATAATTTAATCACTGTAAAGTAGGATGTCATTCTGCCATAGTTAATGTATGTTTAGGTGTAAGGAAGTTGTAATTATGGGCAAACTTTGCACAATTATTATTTTTGAACACTTTATATAACTCAGTTCACACAAAAGCTAGTTTGAATACCGTTATGATTAAGTGATAACAAGTCATATGCAAGTAGTATGAAGTTAGCCTAGACAAGGTAAGCAGCATTAGAGTAAAAAGAACTGTTGGTAATTACGTGTATGTCTCGATTCTGAATGTTCTCTATTGGCAAAAAATTATTGTTATGCGTATTTGTCCATGTAATAATGCCATAGGTGATTTGACTGTTTATGAAAGCAGGGCAACAATAAGGCATCACAGGAGCTAAATAAAGAAGATTTAATGAGGGCTCGTACACCGAAGGCAGTTTTTTTTTTAGCATAAGCAATATGATGGGTAAACTTCACGTTAGGATCAAGTTTTTGGCCTAGAAAACACACCAAATTGCAGGAATTAAATTATCGTAGTCAATTAAAAGGGAGCTTTGTTTTGGAAACTGTATAAACCATGAACTTAGTTTTAAGTGGGATTAAAATTAGGTTGTTTTAATAACACAATGTAGAACACTGATCAGTTCGTTGTGCAGCTCAGTGATTGGGCTTTTAGCAATTTATGGAGCATAAGCCGGAAAAACAATAGGGATAAAAGTTTCAGCAGCTGTTATTGGGCTGAACAAAGCACAAATGAGGGCTGATAGTTATGTTGTGTCTGAAAAGAAAAAAAAGTTTTGGAAATGATGCTTAACTTTCATAGCTGGAAGCCATGCTGGCATATGTGTGCCTAATATTTTTTATAGCTGATTGACTTTTCCTTTGTTGTGCCTTTTAGGGTTTGGGTGCCAGTGATGAACTGCCGCTGTTTTCCCAGGTGGACAATCAAGTAAGTAGCTTTACAGTAGCTTGAATAGTTAGGCTAGTTGGTATTCGTTCATCTTTTAGCTGAATAAGGGCACGTACAGACACTTGAACACCGCTTATGTTGTGTGCATTTTCTTCTTCTAGTGTCCGTCTCTCTGTGCATGCCCTTATTCAGTTAAACGATGAAGTAGCTCTACTTTTTGTAAATTTATGTTTATTCAGTGCAATACTTTCACTACTGGGTTGAATACATAGTTATGCAACTTGCATTGCACTTTCACTTCTTTGTATGTTTATGCTTAGTTTATTCATCTACTACGGTTAATTTTGTAAATTATGAACTGGTGAATTTAGAGGTTCAGGAGGTTATTTCACGAATGACCAGTGCAATCTTCTGCATTACTCTTTTTTGGAATGTCACGGCATTCAGTACAAGCTTCATAAATATTTTTGTGACAAGTCTTAATGTCAGGAAAAAGGGGAATGAATTGAGGCTCTGTCTTTTTGATTCCCGAGTTCCTTATTATCGGACTTGACAAAAGAAATTTTTATCTGCAATGTGCCAGAGCACTTTTTGTCAGTGCCAGCTCTAAGTGCCTTTTAGGGTGTCTGGTGGTCTCTTATACTTTAGTAGAATATTATGGACTCAACATTACTAACAACTGTAACACACTGTAAGATATGTTACATAATTGTTAATTTAACTTTCACACATATCTAGAGCACTCAAAATTGTAAATATGCTTCTTTTTAAAATGTCTTACAGCTTCTCACAAACTGTTCAGGTGAGACTTAAAGACAGCAATGATGTATGTGATTTGCTTTTCATTGATCATTGAAACGAATGCTTTTTTGTTTTGCTGGAGCCACATTAGTGTAAAATTTCTAAATAGGGATTATGTTGATGTTTTTCTAACTTACTATGGCACCCCACTTTTTGCCCAGTCTTTTAGTATCTAAAAATTAATAATTCTCCTTGTGAAGGCTGGTGTAGCATTGCCATGAATGAGCACTATATGCACCTGTAGGCTTATATACATTCTGTGAACTGTACTTGCTTTAGAAAAAGAATATTTGGATAACGTTTATTATGCCAGTGTTATACAAGATGGCATGCAGTTGCAGAAGTGAATTGTAAGATTCATCAGAACTATTTGAATACATACGAGCAAAACTATAGTCGCACGACCAAAGAGCGCAACTAACTTTTTCAAAAACAAGATATCTCTTGAGTCTTTTATTATGATTCCACATTTTTTTGCGCAGATTCACCTAGGAAACGGCATATTGCTGGAGCAGGAAAAATGGGCATGGCTGCTTTTGCGTCCGAGAGACAGCTCGTTTTGTAAGGAGGCGACCAAGCTTCTGTGGGGTGTGAGTGCCCTCCACAACAGGAGCATCACAGGAGCCCCTTGTCGGCGCTACGTGCGCTCGGAAAAGCAGGCACCACCCAGGAGGGCACTCACACCTAAGAAATTGGAGGCAGTCGGAAGTAAGTGTTTCATGCTTAGTATATTTTGCTGAATTTAGGGACAATAAAAGTTATCAACTATATGAACCAGTAAGTCCCTAATTGCTACATATTCCTGCTCATTTTTACAGATGCCTTCAGCAAGTACATTGCTGGGAGACCAAGCGAAGTGGCACCAATTGAGAGGCTAAGAAAAATGAACAGATTCATTGCTGAAATGTTGAACGACCTAAATAAATGAGTCGTCAAAACATTACTCTAGCCTGATCGTGTTTATTTGATATCATTGCAGCATACCTACATTACATTGTTTATTTTACTGTGTGCTTCATGAACTAGCATGCCTTTCTTAATACATTCTTTTACTGCATGTTAATTTTGACCCAAATAGCTGATCCAACCCATATCACCTGCATAACCTGTAATACCCATACATTCGTTACACTTATACCACCTATATGAGCCCTACCACCTGTATGACCCGCACCACCCGTATGACCCGTACCACCCGCATGACCCGTACCACCTGCATGACCCCGTACCACCCGCATGACCCCGTACCACCCGTATGACCCGTGACACCTGTATGCCCCGTATCCAATAACATCGTATGTGCAGGTCCTGTACATGTAGGAATTTTCAGTAGGGTAGGGACTCTAAGAGCCGAGATGTCTTCTCTCCGATGCATACGTCGGCTACTTGTCGACGTGCCGCTTGGATTTTTTATAGGCCCGGGTTATCCCTTACGCCACCAACGTCAAATCGGGGCCCTCCGCTGGGTGGCGCCATGATCCTACAATCCGGAGCCGCTGCACTGGGTGGCACCCAAGGACGAGTGATTTTGCCATGCATTTCGTAAGACTTGCCAGACTGGATGGCACCAATTGCTTCATCGCGACCGTGGGCTGAGAGAGCTTGCCGTGCGTGGCGTAAGACAAACCGGCGCCACCACTTGATGACGTTGTTGAGTGTATGGCGTCAGGTGGGCTCGATCACTGGCCTTGACACAGATTGCCTTTGCAGAAGCAATGCCGTTCGGTCTGGACACTCAGACGTAACATCACCCACGCCGCCAGACAATGCGCCGGAAAGACGAGCTGCCTCCACGTGGCTCGGATGTCGGGCACGCCAGTTCGCCAGTTTTCTCCAGGTTCACCTCCAGGACTATAGGGGAGGTTGTAGATCTAAGCTCGGTTCCGTGAACACATCCATTCCTTGAGGACGGATCTCAGCTCCACTGGCTTGTCGCCACAACTTGTCGGCCAAGCTTCACTCGTCTCTTCTGACGATTTTCAGTTTCAGCACTTGTCGATGGTTCTGCAACTTGTCAAGAATGATTCGACAATAGACAACACGCGACACAAGCAAGTGCCCTTGGTCATCCGACAGAAGACCAGACAAAGTTTAGTACAACATATACCTAGCTACGTGTCTATCGGAATTTCGTTCCCTCTACATCAAGAGGCACATGTGGGACACAAGACTCTTAAAATGAGAACTCAAATGTTTACATGTACAACAGCGTAATGAAATAAACATAACATAAATTTCGCCTTTTGAGATCAATCTGGACGATAGCACTCGGTTAAGGCTGTGATGAGGACAAAATTTTGCCCTGGCTAACCAACGAAAGTCTAAAAGGAGGAAAATGTACTAACTAAAACGCACAGCCAAGTGCGTCTGCATTAACGTCCAGCTTTACTTTTTTGTAGCAAACTTCTAATGCTGTGCTGTTGAAGAATCATGCTCCACCTGAGTAACCAGCCACATTTAGGCGAAATAGTATTGAAGCAGGTTAGAAAACAGTGGTTTGTTTCGACCACAAAACTCGAACCGCAGACATAACAGGCCAGCTTTTGAACGGCCCGTACGAGGCAAGCGCATTTCTTTTCAGAATTACTGTATGCCTCTTCCCTGGAGCTCAGTTTTTGACTTCAATACAAAACTGGCCTTTCTATTACATCACTAGAAGTGAAAATTTCTGCCCCTTGTTCCTCTGAAGCATTAAAAAGCAGATTTAATACCACTTGACGTTGAACGTATTGTTTCATTAGGTTACTATGGTAAATTTCGTTTGGCCGCCTTTCTAATTTCACTTCATAATTGGTATCAGAAAGCTTCGATGTTACTTTGGCGGGCCCTTCTCAATGAACCTCAAGCTTGTTCTTTTTGGATGGCCGCAGCAGCATGACCCGACTACGCACTTCAAAGGTGCGTTTCTTCACCGATTTGTCGTAGTACTCCTTCGACAACATTTGTGCAGTTTTCATTTAGCTTTTCACAAGACCTTTCGTTTTTCCAAGCCTCTGAAGGAGGTCTAGATAATACGCAACTACATTAAGGTCCTCGTCAAATCCCTCCCAAGGCTCGCGTAGCATTCGCAATGGTGTTCTCAAACACCTGCTGTACCGAAGCTCTGCAGGGCTAAAGACTGTGCTCTCATGAGGAGCTGATCTCAAAGCGAACATTGCGGGAGGAATACATGCTTCCCAGTCACATTTGTGCTCATAACAAAGAGCTCTCTGTATCCGTTTTGAACAGAATGCACACGCTCTACCAGATTAGATTGCGGGTGATGGATCGCGCTGTGCACTATTTTTATTCCACATTTATCCAAAAAGGTACAGGTGAAGCAACTGGTGAAGACACTACCATGGTTGCATTAGATTTCAGATGGAAATCCCACGCGTGGGAATATAGAGAGCAGAGCATCCACGACATGAGAAGAGTTGAGTTCCTCAAGTAGTATCAGTTCTGGAAATTTTGTGGCTACCCAGAGGGCCGTCATGATGTACTTACAACATTGCCTTGACTCTGGCAATGGCCCGACGATATCAATTACTAAGCGCCGAAATGGTTCGGAATAATTGGCAAAAGCTTCATGGGTGCCTTCCACTTGTCCGTGGATTTCCTCGCTTTCTGACAAGTGTCGCAAGAGCGTTCAAAGTCTTCGATAACCTTCGAGCATTTCGGCCAATAAAACTCAAGGGAAGCTCTAGCCTTGGTCTTAATTGTGCCGAGATGCCTTGCCCAGCCGTTTTCATGCGCCAGTTCCAATAGTTAGCGACAATACTTTTGGAGCACCAAGAGCTGCTCATACTTGCGACCTTGCAGATTTGTGTAGCTCCGATACAGGAGCGCTGGCTTCTAAAAAAACATTCTTTTTCTTTGTTTACAATTTGACGCTTTCCATTAGCGCTTGCTGCTCTTGATAGAGCGTTTCTCAATCAACCCTCGACAGCCCACTGCAACTTTCCGCTACAGGCGACAGCGTTGCACCCCTCTTGCTCTCACTTCAAAGAGGGACGCAGTGGCCTCTATACCGTGCAGTGTTAATCACGGTTTCCTACATTAGTGCACGCATCTTTTTCGACTCATTTTTATGGATCACATGGAGGTCGCTGCTTTTGCCGCTATTCTTCTAATCATGGCATATTCATACACAAAATTGCACCAGATGGCACACACTTACAAGTAACTACACATCCCACAACAATACATGATATTTCCTTCCTCAAGATAATTGCTGGGTACGCGGGTCACACTCGAATAATTGAGAAAAGGCTCGTAACAGCTTTTCGCATTCGCGTTTCAGAGATGGCGTGGCGCTTGTCATTTAAAACTGATCAGAACTATCATGACTCACAGCAATAACTTAAAATTCTTACAGGCTAATGCGGACCATACACGTGATGCCACAAAATATTAATAGAATACATGACAAAACAACACTGCAATTTCACCTTCGTGTGTGACCCGCACATCCGCGCAAGCACTGTTAAAGGCATATCGCACTCCATAACAAAGTTCCACGCACCAAACAATCCTCACGTCATGCTTCTAGTACACAACCCTAATTTTGTCTTACGCCCATTACACGTAACAGATTTTGTTGTTGCAGCAAAGTGTGAAAGCCGTGACCAAACATTATTATTGATAGCCGTGTATGCCCCACCACAAAGACCTATTGATTCAGTTCTGAATGAGCCATAATGTGTAGTTTCATTATTCACAGGTTGTACTATCATCATAGCCGGAGATTCAACCCTTAGCATAGAATGTGGGGGCCGGCTATAGGAGATGCTCGCGGCTGTCAAGCAGTTCAATTGGTGACGACGAATGACTCAGTCATATTGAACAACCCCACCTCCGTTCCAAATTTCACAACTCCGTATGCAGATTCATGGATAGATTTGACTATGATTTCGCATGACCTCATTCGCGATGCTTACCATTGGAAGGTTCTCCAAATTCCTACCCTCTCAGACCACAACTACATTGAATTCTCGTTCTCGCAAGCACATAGCAGCAGTGATAAACGATCAACTAATCTAGGAAGAGTGAAAAGTCTTAACAAACTAAAAGACGATACTTGGTTCACAAAGATTCTCGGCTGCAACATTGGGTCACCTGAAGCCTTAAACATGGTTATAGACAAGTTTTATGCCATATACTCCGCTTTAATCCAACGTTACTCACGACGCATAGCATCACGTAGTAAATTAGGTAGTGGTTGGTTGACACCAAAATTGGCTATCGAACGTAAGCGTGTTCGGGCTGTGCGATGACGATATCAGCGAACAGCCGACCCCCTCCTTCGAGACGTATATCGCAAATTGTACGTTGACGCATTGTCCACCTACAAGGATAAAATCTGGAAAGGAAAATGATCGTTTAATAACCTTCTTACGAAGAAATGCTTATATGGTGATGTTTTCAAAACAGCATTTCGAAAACACCACCAAGTAACTTTCTTCCTCCTCTAGATTTACCTAACGGCATTCGCACAACTTCTGTAATGGAATCCGCCCGGCTTCTACTCGATACATTGGTAGTAGTGGACAGCTGTTCGGAAGACAACATGCACCGCACTATCATGCATGACGTAATGGCTAGTCCTTGCCCATGGCACACTTCTGACCCTCCTTTTACAATATCTGAAAAAGAGAGTGCGATGAAACAGGGCAATTCACACTCTGCTCCTGGACACGATGGATTAACCTACCCGTTCATTAAAAGATTATTTGAATACCATCCCTAATTTTTCTATGTTATATTCAATACCGCCTTAGGAATTTATTTATTTATTTATTTATTTATTTATTTATTTATTTACAATACTGCTACTCTCCTTCGAGAGCGTGGCAGTTGGGCAATACAGTAATTTTTTACACAAAAAAAGGATGTAGACGTAAAAACATGCAAGCATAATAACAGGACATGAGGATCATATAACCATTGAGCAGTGCAGCAGTTAAACG